CCATTTACATTTAAGGTTAATATTGTTATGTGTGAACTTGATCCTGTCATTATGATGTTAGCTGGTTATTTTGCTCATCAGTTGATGCAGTTTCTTCCTAGCATCGATGGTCTTTACATTTTGGCATGTTTTAGTATATGCAAATATTTAAAAAATGTTTTCAGTAATTATATTCAGGAATATAGTATTCATATTTTATAACTGTTGCGTGTGTAATGTCAGATAAAGCAAATGAATGTTTAGTGAATATTCTAATTTTAAATGTAATATAGAGGAGCTTAGGGAAAGTCGTTAGAGTCTTCTGTTTAAATTATATGTATGATGGATTCATGGTTAATCTATCTACCTATCTACCACCCATTTACCTATTTACCTGCTGGCTTTGTCCACTCAAAATTCCAATAACATTGACCATTCCAATAAATATCATCATTCCTAGGTTCAGATTGTTGTATTGCAATAATTTTTCTTGGTGTGAGAATCTAGGGCTTCTTGGAGAAATGACTGATTCCAGATTTAGGACAGGAAACCTGTAAGAGAAGCTAGAAACAGATGAATATGTTCAATTGCACCATGTGGATGAAATTAGCAAAACCGACATTATGGAAAACTCTACTGTCAAAATACCTGAGTTCTTCAACAAGTAGATTGGAAGAAAGTGAATGGGCTATACAGAGAATCTATCAATTAAAATAGACTTAAAGCATATGGAATTACAAAATGGACAACACTAAGTTATAATGCATAACGATTCAAACTAGGATGATTAAACTATTCAGGAAAGCAAGGCAGTAATTTCTTAAAGGTTGAGAATTGTAATTTCTGCTGATGATAGGAGCATTGCAATTGTAATGGAACACACAAATGGATTTATGTGACTGCTATCAAACTTCTGTTTCTTGATCTTGGTAATGATTGCAATTATTATGAAGTGGTTCACCTTGTAACAGTCATACATCATGGAAGCAGACAGGGTGGCCGGTAAGAGCGGAGTTGGAGGCAGATGTCCAGTGTATTGAGAAAGAGTGCATGCTAGGGTGGGTTGATTTTCATGTTTATTATTTGGTATTCATGACTGGATTTCATCTTCTTGAACACACACATTTATCTTTGTAAGATATATATTCTTCATGAAGTATTTGACATCAACCTTGTGTAGAAAATAGTAGAGACAGGTTATGGAGTTGAGGAGAAGGAGAGGAATGTTTTTTCAACCTGAAATGCCCTTAATCTTTTTAGAATAGAAGCAGTTGTTCTCCCTCTTTTGGTCTCTAGATTTCACAAGGAACAAGGGCTTAGAACTAAATGTTGATGAATTACTCTAGTGCCACTTAATTTTATCTCCTTGGTTTCCCTGGCTCTGAAGAACTACATTATATCCTTTTTGCTATATTCTTCTTTTTCTACTTGGTGACATTAATGGGAAACACCGTCATCATCATGATTGTCTGTGTGGATAAACGTCTGCAGTCCCCCATGTATTTCTTCCTCGGCCACCTGTCTGCCCTGGAGATCCTGGTCACAACCATAATCGTCCCCGGGATGCTTCTGGGATTGCTGCTCCCTGGGACGCAAACAGTATCTTTGTCTGCCTGTGTTGTCCAGCTCTTCCCATACCTTTATATGGGGACATTACTTGGAGCAATGGCTGTGGACTGTTATATTGCTGTGTGTAACCCTTTGAGTTGCAACATCATTATGAACAGACACACCTGCAACTTTGTGGTTCTTGTGTCATGGGTGTTTGGGTTTCTTTTTCAAATCTGGCCAGTCTACGTCACGCTTCAGCTTACTTACTACAAATCAAATGTAGTGAACAATTTTTTCTGTGACCGAGGGCAATTGTTCAAACTATCCTGCAATAATACTCTTTCCACGGAGTTTATCCTCTTTTTAATGGCTGTTTTTGTTCTCTTTGCTTCTTTGATCCCTACAATTGTCTCGTACTTCTACATCATCTCCACCATTCTCAAGATCCCGTCAGCCTCTGGCCGGAGGAAATCCTTCTCCACTTGTGCCTCCCACTTCACCTGTGTTGTGATCGGCTACAGCAGCTGCTTGTTTCTCTACTTGAAACCCAAGCAAATGCAGGCAGCTGATTACAATCGGGTAGTTTCCTTGATGGTTTCAGTAGTAACTCCTTTCCTCAATCATTTCATCTTCACCCTCCGGAATGATAAAGTCATAGAGGCCCTTCGGGATGGCGTGAAATGCTGCTGTCAACTATTCAGGAATTAGCCTTGCTCTGAGACATTTTACATGATGAAGCACTTAGTATGGATTCTAGAATAATCTGAAAAGAACTTGCTCATCTTTGAACTGCATCATAATTATTACCATTATCAAATAATTAGTGTGCAACAAAAGACTTCTAAGTTACAGCTATGGTTTTTAATATGGTTAGTTGTTACTTGAAACTCAGTTTATTGTTTTTAAGACATGTCTTGCTATCTAGCTATCTATCATCTGCCTTTCTTAAGATATAATGATTTCACAATTAAACTTTGAAAAATTAAATGTCAGAGGTAGACTATCTATGTAGTCTAGAAAGTTGACTAGTGGTTGCTTAGGGCTGAGGGGAATGCAGACATAGGGTAGTGATAGCTAAGGGGTACAGGCTTTCTTTTTGAGATGATGGCTGTAAATATCTACGAATATACCAAACACCATTGAGCTGTACATTTTCAATGAGTTAATTTTATGGAATGTGAATTATATTTCAATAAAGCTATTGAAAATAGTATATTAGATGGTGAAGAAGTATTGTGAAGAAAAGTGAAACAGGAATGAAAGGGAATATCTCTTGCTGGAGTGTTGAAATTTCAAATAAGATTTTCAGGGAAGGATTGAGAGAGGTAAGATGGTGATACATTCGGAAACTTGTTAAAGAACATTCCAGGCATAGTGAGTAATAAGTGGGAGATCCTAGGGAAGGCATAGCAAAGACACTGAAATGGAGTGTGCAAAGGAGAAAGCAATTGCAGTCAGAGTGGTAACTGGAATGCAGACCATGTAGAGCCTTGTGAGCCTTTTTTTTTCCCAGGTATGCAAAAAGATAATATTATTTTACTTTTTTTTTCTTTTTTTCTTATACTTTATGTTCTAGGGTACATGTGCACAACATGTGCCATGTTGGTGTGCTGCACCCATTAACTCGTCATTTATATTAGTTATTTCTCCTAATGCTATCCCTCCCCCATCCCCACACTCCATGACAGGCCCTGGTGTGTGATGTTCCCTGCCCTGTGTCCAAATGTTCTCATTGTTCAATTTCCACCTGTGAGTGAGAACATGTGGTGTTTGGTTTTCTGTCTTTGCAATAGTTTGCTGAGAATGATGGTTTCCAGCTTCATCCATGTCCCTACAAAGGACGTGAACTCATCCTTTTTTATGGATGCATAGTATTCCATGGTGTATATGTGCTACATTTTCTTAATCCAGTCTATCACTGATGGACATTTGGGTTGGTTCCAAGTCTTTGCTATTGTGAATAGTGCCACAATAAACATACGTGTGCATGTGTCTTTATAGTAGAATGATTTATAATCCTTTGGGTATATACCCAGTATTGGGATCGCTGGGTCAAATGGCATTTCTAGTTTTAGATCCTTTTAAAGATGTTTGCTCTTTCCAGAAGCACATTGGAAAACCATCACAGGGGGCTGAAGAAGAGTAACAGAATCTGTTTAATGTTTTAACAAGATCATCCTGGTTGCTGGATGAACAATACATGAAAGGACAATAAAGGGAGAAGGATGAAGGCCAGGTGGAGATTGCATCAGTTAGATTTTGCTATATGAGACATAACCAGAAAACTCCAGTGGTATACAGTGATAAGCTTTTATTTTCATGCTTAGAGTTTCTGCTGATCTAGGGTGGCTCTGCTGCTCTCAGGTGGATTTGTTCATGAGTCTAAGGGTTGTATGGGGGTTGGCTGACCTAGGCTGGGCCCACATTTGAAGTCATGAAAAGTGTGCCTTTGATCTCCATGTGGCTTGGCCACAACATTTTTGAGGCACCCTTCTCTGACTTGGGCAAATTTTTATTCCCGTATTATAAATGAGTTAACAAGTTCTGAAACATTAAGTGGCTTGCCTACATTAAGCTTCTAGCAAATTGAAAAGCTGCTTCTTGGATGAAGATCTCAACTTCAAATCCTCTACAAAATGCTTCTCCTAATGTCTAATGCCATTGAGATACATAGAGGAATGTTATTTAATATGTGCAATAATTTTTTGAGATAGGTATTACTACCCCATTTTATCAGTAAGGAAACTAAGACCAAGAAAGAGTAGGAAAACTGTACTGATTCACACAGCATATTAGAAGTAAAGTCAAAACTCAAATTCAAATTTCATTGCCTTTTTTTTTTTTAAAGCATGCCACTGCTATCTAATAAAGATCACATTTATCTAAGCTTGCAAGGATCCAGGAACTCTCCCAATGATAAACTTAAACCAAAGTCCACATTTTCCCTATCTACTCCCCACTCCCACCCCAGGCCACTGGGCTCCTTTTAGAACCTGCACAGAAGTGTCTCCTAATCTTGGGGGAAATTTAAACTGTCTACTAAAGAAATCACTAGATGTCTACATTTCCTGATCTTAAAAGTTTGCAGTTATTCTGTCATGAAACAGGAAGTGAAGCAACTATAGTTCTCTCTTCTCAAAACAGAAGGATTAGGATTTCCTTTCTGTTGTCTGAGTTCTGGGGCTTGCCTTTGGCTAGAATTGATTTTTCTCTCCACTTAGAGAGAAAAATCAACAATTGATTTTTCTCTCCACTTAGACTCAGCCTTACTTCCCTTCTCAACGGTAGCACTTATTCTTTCCCAACACAGTCAGAGAACTTGTATCTCCACAGGCTGCTAATGTAATTCCAATTTCCACCCCATCTCAAACACAAATTACTTCTGGTGATTCTCTTTAAGCAAGTTCTGACACCTGATGTGTTATCTCATTTTTAAAAATTGTAAGTGGCCATGCTAAGGAGCCAAAAATGATGAAACCTAGGAATGCAGAAACAGAACTTAGTGTTGTAATAAAAAATATGATTTACAACATCTTGTTTGGTATGCATATAATGATATGTACAGTCATTACTGTGGTACATTGTTATTAGACACAAAATGGTATGCATTGTACTTAGGTGACTATTATTTCCATCAGTTTTATACATGGTCTTCCTTATGGTTTACTTATTCTTACTCAAAACACACAAGGCATCTCTTTTATCTTTCTCATGCACCAAGCAGGGTAAATAGCTGATGTCTTGTGAATGTAGAGAACAGCCAGGGTACTCCAAGACTTTTCTTCCTCTTTCTTGCCTTTCTTCCAGTGTGGCCAAATGAATGCTCTGTTTCCTGTCTCAGGTGATTTCCATTTGACCCTGATGTTCCCTTTCTACTATGTGCTTATTCCTTGCCCCCAGCCAATGTTTCCCTGAGCAGCCCTCCTCTTTTTCTATTGCTTCATCAGCTGGACCTGTTCTAGATCAATGTGATGCCAACCAGTGCCAGGGTCCTTGGGTCAGTAGGCTGTACCTGATATCAGGTTCTCTCTAGAACTGAAGGGACGAATATATTGTGATTATTGTTGCCTAAGAGACTATCCAAAATTTTAAAAATATACTCAACAAATACAGTCAGGTACTCAAAACCTTCAGAGCAAAGGAAGCCTGCTTACCTAAATTTTGGTTACAAAGGAGTTACATATGTTATAATGGAGTTTCAGAAATATGACAAGGGGATTTTTAGCTTAAGTGTCTCTTCAGGGCTTTGCTGAAGAACAGAAACCTAGTGTGTTTTGTTCCCTTGGCTGTCTGGTTTTCTTCAAAGGGGTCTCCAAGAAGGTTCCTATCCTGCCCAGACGTCTCTCTATTCCCATAAACAATGCTGCTGTCTGTGCTGCTCCAAGCTCAGCACTAGGAGCCCTCCCCAAGGCCCAGCCTTAGTTCAGACTGAGGAGAGCCTCTGCTACCCCAGCTTGCGGAGTTAGGAGGGGCATGTGAATGGGGTTCCCTTGAGAACAGAGATGAGGTCACAGGAGCTACGTTTATCCCTCTTCCACCATGGTAATCCCTAAATAATGTTTATAATTGCTCACTCTACAGTTGCTCCCTGGTAGTACGGTAGATACTCTGAGGCTAAAATAAAACAAACCCTGTCAACAGACTAGGCCCTTTTGATCAGTCGGAAATGCTCAGTACTACAGAAGCAGACCTCATCTCTATACCAACTGAGTTATTTCCATAAAACTGATCCTGTCTCCTGGAGATGGCTAGTATCCAGTCCCCCAGTGCAGAAGAAAGAAGCTCAGTTTCTCAAATGGCCAAGGACCGCTGCTGGTAGACAGATAGGTAAGTAAAAGGATCACTGGCCAGATGACCTGTGTGGATTCAAAAAGAGTTGCAAGTATGGTTCTTGTCACAGGGAACTGTGATCATTTGGCATTCTTCTCACAGATCCTGCGGTAGCGGATGTCACATGATGCAGCATCAAATGTCTTTGTTAGGCCAATGGTCGCACAGTTGAAATTCTGATTCTGATTGGTAACACTAAATGAGAAAACAAAACAAAACAAAACAAACAAACAAAAAAACAAAGCATGGTAATGGGCCATCATTTTAGCCCAGGCTCTTCTGATTCCAGAGTGAGAGTCTTGCAGGAATTTTGCCTGGAGGGGGAGCAGACTACCGGGCCCACACAGGCCTCCATTTGGGAAGCCTCCTTTTTAGCTCAGATCCCTCTCCTAATCCAGCTCCACAAATGCAGCTGTAAACCGACCCTTTCCTGTCAGCTCTTCTGCGAGTTTGTATGGATTCACAGTCTTAGACTAACTCACTCACTGTGGCGTTCGGTTAGAAGCATCTCATGGACTGTCTCTTCTTCCAAAAGTACTGTTTAGGACAGTACATGTGTTCACAGCGGGAGGACAGGAAGGAAAAGGAGAGAGGTTGTGCATCCCTTTCCAGACCATAGTGGCTTCAGAAAAACTTGGTGGAGGTATGTGTTGGCTCTCCCACCTCTTTTTCTGTCATTCAGTCTGTTTCAGTCTGACTGAAAAGACTCTGGTTTCAGAGAAATGTCATGTGTTTTGGACTAGCTGTATGATATTTAACACATTTCTAAGTTTTTCTTGTCCTCAGTTCAACTGTCTGTGAAATGGGGAGTGATAAAAGCTTTTCATGTAGCATCATGGGGAATATTTCAGGAAACAACATATGCAAAGTGTTTAGCATAGTGCTGGCATTAGCAGACACTGAATAAATATCAATTTCCTCCTCTCTGTAGGGAAGCCCAGTTACAGGCTGGGGGACTGACTTGACCTCTGTTTGAATCACTACTTTCGTACAAACACTGGGAAAATTATTGGTGTTCTCACCAATCCTAATCTCCATGGAACAATTCACAGGAGATAGCTCTTGGGGGTCAGAAGTTCATAGCTTTGAGGCATAGACATGTTGCTTATAATAACCTTTATTTAGATAAAGAAGGCACATCTGGGGAAACTTGTAGGTACTTTGTAATAAAATGTGATCTGTGGGTTAAAAGATGAAGCCCTTTTGATCAGTCAGAAATGCTAGGTGTTATAGAAATAGATCTCATCTCTATACCAACTGGGTTGCCTCCATAAAACTGACCGTGTCTCCTTGAGATAGCTAGCATCCAGTCTAGACTCATATCTAGTCTGTTTGAAGTCAAGAAACTAAGCTTTTTTGATCAGTCAGAAATGCTCAGTGCTATACAAACTAGCATCTAAAGAGAGCTACACGATACATCAAATGAGTGCTATGTATGTGGATTTGTTTGGATCCTGATTTGAATAAAATAATTTGCTATATGAATACTCTTCTCTCTCCTTATGAAAGTTTGATCTCTTTCATAAGAAAAAGTTTATTAAAATGTGTCTCAGGGAATGGATGGGTTGGAAGAAAGGAGAAGAGCAGAACAGAGTCAAGCGTCAGCGTTTGAGCTATTCCAGAGTGAACCCACCAATCTCAGGTTTGGTCTTTTGAAGCAAACCAAGATCCCCAGGAAACTGTGGGATGTTCACGTACTTGCCATTGAACACAGAGTTGTTGATCCAACGCCACCTTTTCTCTTCACGATTGTAAATTAAGCCAATAAAATACTTCTCTGTATCAGCTATGTCCTGAAGAAACTTCTAGAAATTAAAAAAAAAAATTTCAACAGTGACTCTTTTAATGACGCCTCTCTTGAGCCAATGTGCCCATGATTGTATCTGATCCTGGGAATAAGGAAGGCTGGTAGGGAACGCTGAGACCAGCTACAGCTGGGACTCATCACTAAGCCTAAAGAAGTCGTTGTCAGGCTTCACAGGGAATCTGGAAAGCCTGAAGTCTTGTTAAAACAGATTGCTGGGCTCCTGGTTAAGCAGATCTAGTGAAGGGAACCAATAATTTACTTTTCTACAAAATGCCCAAGTGATACTGATGTTTCTGTCCAGGGACCACACTGTGATAATAAAGGGGAAGGGGTACTATGCAATCAAAAACAGGGTCATTTAAAAAAATATGTCATGCTTCTATCCATAGGATTGTTTTTGTTACCAGAAATTTTGAATGCTAAGTAAGGCTGAATCAAGTGTTAATAAAATGTGTTTCTATTTATTGAGTACTTAGGAAAGGAAAACAGTGAGATTTAGAAGTATATTGCTTTTAGAAGTGTAATCCAAGAAGAAATAAGCAAGTGCTTGTTGAATATTTGCTAATTTGACACTAGTCCTAGACATCTTTGTTCTGTATTTATTTGATAAGTTACAAATCATTTCAGCCAGAAGTGTTTTCTATACCTCCCATAATCAGTGGGTATCCAAGTCTTATTCTTTCCATCCCCATGGCTGTTTCCTTAGTTTCTCCCTTTTCAATGTTCTCCTTTTCTGAAATATCTTATTTCATTACTTTTTAATTAATTACTGAATGTTCTCATTTACCAAACATCTTTTGAGTGTCTATTATGTGCCATGCGTTGTATTAGGCTGAGGATATGGAAGCAAATATATTTCTCCTCAAAGAAATTATGATCAAGAGGGTTGGCAAACTACAGTCAGTGGGCCAAATCCAAACTTCATCCTGTTTTGGTAAATGTTTTATTGGAATGCACCCATGCCCACTGTTTACATATTATCTATGGCTGCTTTCAAGTTACAACAGCAGAGACCAATGCCCTGAAAAGCTTAAAATGCCCTTTTTAAAAAAAGTGTTCTGACCCATAGTCTAAAACCAGAATCCTTAATGCTGAACTCTCACGCTGGAAGCCATGGATGGTTTCCCAGGAAAACTATGGAACCACTGGAATATTATGAAAAATATTTTGCTTATGTAGTGTTTCTGGGAAGAGGTACATAGATTTTATCACCATTTAAAAAAAGTCAGTGGTCTTTGAACCACTGATTCCAGAGTGAGAGTCTGTTTGAAGAACCACAGGTTTAATGAAGGAAGACAACCAACTTAACTAGCATAATGAAGTATCTCAGGTGTTGTACTAGGGAATTATATACTAGATCTGGAAGACGCAGAAAGGAGGAAGCGATCATTCTACATAGATCTGAAGTTTTTCTAGAATGATAGATGAGGTGATACCTGAGATGCATTTTAGGAGATAGCTAAGTTTGTCAGACAAACTGTCGGGGAGAGTACGGACTTCTGGAAGACAGCATGGATTACAGGCAGGTGGGGAAGCAGCCTGGAGCATTTGAGGAACTGCAAGATGCTCAGTGTAGTTAGTGCAGAGGTGGCAGGGAGGTGGTTTGAGAGACAAGGCTGGAGAGAAGGCAGAGGCGGCACTGTGCAAGGCCTGATACGATGTAAGGTACATGGATGTGCTTTGGTCAAGGAGAAGACTGAGGCAGACATCTGGGCCAAAGTGACTCAGTGAGTTTAGGGAGCAGGCATGCATATATATATACACTTGCTATATAACCTGTTTGTGTAAGCTGATGCTTAACTCAGAGCCACTGTTGTTTGAAGAAGGTATAATTGACCTGCCGATGTTGTGCACGCAGCTTGGCTCGGCTCAGTGTGTCTTGACATGGTACAGGTGCTGGTGCCCAGAGAAAGAGAGAGCGAACCAAGGCTGTCCATCTTGCAGTTGGACAGAGGGGAGCCAGGACATAGCTCAGCATGCACTCAAGTCCAGAGGGAGAAAGAGTTAAACTGCTGACCCTGAACACAAGGGAGAGCTGGCTGCGCAGCTGTGCATGGGAGTGGCTGGATCAAGCAGCCAGACAGACAGTGTGAGAAAGCTGCTGATGAAAGAGTTGCTGAATAAAACTACATTTCACCTGTTTATGGCCCCCTGAGTGTTCTTTCAGCTATCTGCCACCCACTCTCTGCCCTAGGACCTCAGCATGGGCTGGAACCTGACCATGAGTGTGACATTTGGTGTGGTCATGAACCTGACATATGCCATGCTAGGAGAACTGGGGTTTAACCCATTTTAATTTGGAAAATGGCACAGTTTAGAGCCTTGGAGGTATTATGATGTCAGTTCTGAGGAGGATAGCTAGAAAGAGTGCAAAACAGGAGGCAAGGAGATAGATTAGAAGAATTCTGAAGAAATCCAGGTGAGGACTGAACTATTTGTTGTGGGCATAGAGAGAAAAGGACTTGGTTAACAAATAATTGAGGAGGAAAAGACAAGGTAAAGTCCCAGAAAACTCTTAGCCTTCAATCTTGGGTGACATGAGTACTCACCAGTATTTGGAATGTAAAAGGAGTAGCAGTAGGGTCAAATATAATTGACTCAGTTTTGAACATAGTGAGTTTGTGGGACTCTTGAAACATCAAAGTGGAATTTGGTATACCTGTTTGGAGGAGAAGGATGAGCTGGAGATACAGACTTGAGAGTCACCGGCATGATGACCTTTGTCTTTTTCTTTTCCTTTTTTTTTTTTCGAGGCAGAGCCTTGCTCTGTTGCCCAGGCTGGAGTGTAGTGGCACAATCATGGCTCACTGCAGCCTCTGCCTCCTGGGTTCAAGCAATTCTTGTGCCTCAGCCACTTAAGTAGCTGGGATTTCAGGTGTGCACCACCTCACCTGGCTAATTTTTAGTAGAGACATGGTTTCACCATGTTGGCCAGGCTGGCCATAATGACCTTTTTCATCACCAAGGATGCAAATTGGGATCCACAAAACTTAATGAGTGTGGCAGACTTGTCACACTTGCTTCTTCCCTTTGCCTTCCCTCCTTTCCTCTTTTCATTCCCCTGTCTTGCTCCTGTTTTTCTACCTTATGACATTTTCCCTTGCTACCTGGGTACTTAGCCCTAGAGGGTTTGTAGCATCCAGATCCCTTGGTCATCTATTACCAAGATTCAGAAAGGAGATCATCTTACAAGTTCTTCTAAATCACAGGAGGACTTTTTAGAGGCGGAATAAAGGGATAGAAGTGAGAGAAGCAAGAGTATAGTGTATGTAGCACAGATTAGAGTATGGGTTTTGGAGTCAGATCTGAATTCAATTCTGTGTTTTGTTATATGACCTTGGGCAAATTACTTTTCTGTGCCCTAGTTGCCAGTTATAAAATGTCGATAGTAATACATCTTCATGATTATTATCATGATCAGCTACTGAAAATTCAGTTCTATGACCTGATTCTCAGTTTTTCACATTACTAATTTTGTCAATTCATGTCTTCCTTGTTTACTACGCAGACTGGGATGATGCATTGACATCACATCTATGAGGTATTCTTTTAGTTGTTAAACAACTTTTACACACATCATCTCATTTGGTCATTTGCTTCACTTTAAATATCTTGGCCCATCCCCAGGATATCAGCTCATTACTGTGCCCTGTAGAAAAAACCACAAGGTGTGAATTTCTGTGGTTAAATGAAGCTGAAAAACATGCTGCTTCACTGCTACTAAGAAGAGTCTCCTAACCCCCAGTCCAGAACAAATAGCTTCAGTTTTTCAGCCAGCCACCTGTCCATTCCTCACTCAGTCCCATCCCCGCTTCCCGAAATTTCCATCCCATCCCACCCACTGAGGCTTTGTAGACTGTGTGGCTTTACTGTACCATTCCAGTGTCCTCACCAGTTTCTCTGGCGTGTTGACAATTGCCAATGTGGATCCTTTTCTTTTGCAAAAGTCCCTGCTTTCATTCCAAGATGATTCAGAAGTAGGTAAGAGAAAACATCTTTCTTGATAAAATTCCCAGTCTTTGGGGCAGACTGAAGAGGTCCAAGAAAGGAGAGTATGAGTTTACTGGTTTGGGGTATAAATCCTGGAATTAAGTCATAAAACAGCGATACATATTTTTGTTTTAACGATTATATTGGTAAAAATTATTCCCCATCCAGGAATAAATTCCACCCAGTCTAGTCTGGTTCCCTGACAATAATCTAAGGAGAATAAGGAGAAGAGCACAATGGTTGAATAGAAGTTTCCATTAGTCATCCCCCTACAGGAACACCAAATCTGACAACTATCTACACATAAAAAAGCACATATACATACATGAGAACAAAAAATCAGATGAACATGCAGTTCCTGGGTAGCTGAAAGAGGCACTGCAGAGGGTAGGAAAGACAGTCTTGAATTGCTGACACCACCCCTGCCCTATCCCTGCTGCAGTGACAGCATGGCATGGTAAAGTCTGTGTGCATGGGAGAGGGAGTGTGCAGGGATCGTGAGACTTTACATTGGACTCAGTGCTGCCCTCTCACAGTGGAGGGCAAAATGGACTGAACTCAGCTGATGCCCACCCATGGAGGAAGCATTTAGATGAGTGCTAGCCAGAGGGGAATAACCCACCCAGTGGTTGAAACTTGAGTTCTGGCAAGCCTTGCCCACTGTGAGCTGAATGGCTTTGGGGCCCTAAATAAACTGGAAAGGTAGTCTAGGCCACAAGGACTGCAACTCCTAGGCAAGTCCTTGTGCTGAGCTGGGCTTTGAGCCAGTGGAATTAAAGGGCACCTACTGAGATACCAGCCAGGGTGACCAAGGGAATGCTTGTGCCATTGCTCTCCCAACCCCAAGGAGCACAACTTGCAGCTCCAGAAGAGACCCTTGCTTTCTGCTTGAGAAGAGGAGAGGGAAGAGTAAAGAGTACTTTGTCTTGCATCTTGGATACAAGCCACAGTAGAATAGGGCACTAGTCAGAGTTGTGAGGTCCGCATTCCAAACTCTAGTTCCTGAAAGACATTTGTAGACACACCGAGACATACCCTGGGACAAAAGTGAATCCTCTGTCTTGAAGATAAGTACACAGTTCTGAAAGGACCCCTCACCTGCTGATGAAAGAATTCTTGGCCCCTGAATAACAAGCAGCAATCCCCAGGTAGTATGTTATGGGCCTTGGGTGAGACTGAGATGTCTCGGGCTTCAAATGAAACCCAGCACATTCTTCTGCTTGAGAAAAGAAGAGAGAAAAGTAAAGGGGGCTTTGTCTTGCACCTTTTGTAACAGCCTGGCCACAGAGAAGTAAAGGTCAGCTTTTGGGGTCCAAGATTCCAGGCCTTGACTCTTGAATAGCATTTCTGGACCTGACCTGGACCAGATAGAAGCCCACAGACATAAAGGGTGGGTTCTAGGCCTGGCAGCATTTGTGACGAGCTGACCAAAGAGCCCTTGTACCTTAAACAAAAATCAGTGGTAGTCTGGAAGTGACCCTGTGGGCCTGTGATGGTAGTGGTCATAGGGTGAAGCTCCACTGCCTGTGGAAAGGGGAGGGAAGAGTGGAAATAACTATGTCTCATGATTGGAGTTTCGGCTCAGCTACAGGGGGATAGAACACCAGGTAGATTTATAAGGTGTTTGACTCCAGTCCCTGGTTCTAAGACAGCATCTCTGGACCTATTTAAGGCCTGGTGGAACTCACTGCCCTGAAGGGAAGGTCACAGGCTTGGCTAGCTTCACCATATGCTGATTATAGAGCCGTAGGATCTTGACAAAACATAAACAGTAGCCAGGTAGTGGTTGTAGTGGGCCTTGAGTGAGACTCAGTGCTGTGCTGGCTTCAGGTCTGACCCAATGCAGTCCCAGTGCTGGTGGTCACAGGGATGCTTGTGTCACCCCACTCCCAGCTCTGGGCAGCTCAGCACAGAGAAAGAGATTCTGTTTGGGAAAAAGTAAGGAAAAAGAACAAGAGTCTCTGTCTGGTAATCCAGATAAATCTTTCAGATCTTATCCAAGACCAACCAGGTGGGTACCTGTACTAGTCTATAAGACCCACAGCGTTACTGGGCTTGGGATGTCCCCCATGCAGATAGAGCTTAGGTCACAACACCCAAGTCCTTTTGAATACCTGGAAAGCCTTCCCAAAAAGGACGAATATAAACAAACCCAGATCATGAAAGCTACAATAAATACCTCTCTTCTATGCCCAGACACTGATGAACATCAACAAGTATCAAGACCATTCAGGAAAACATGACCTCACCAATTGAGGCAAATAAGACACCAGGGACCAATCCTGGAGAAACAGAAATATGTGACCTGTTAGACAGAGAATCCAAAATAGCTGTGTTGAGGAAACTCAAATAAATTCAAGATAACACAGAGAAGAAATTCAGAATTCTATCAGATAAACTAAGAGATTGAAATAGTTAAAAAGGATCAAGCAGAAATTCTGGAGTTAAAAAATGAAATTCGCATACTGAGGAATACATCAGAATATTGTAATAACAGAACCAGAGGGGTCACAGAAGTCAAAGGAGACAAAAGAAAAAAGAATAAGAAACAATGAAACACATTCGTAAGGTCTAAAAAATTGCCTCAAAAGGGCAAATGTAAGAGTTACTGGCCTTAAAGAGGAAGTAGAGAAATAGATAGGGGTAGAAAGTTTATGCGAAGGGATAATAACAGAGAACTTCCCAAACCTAGAGAAGGATATCAATATCCAAGTACAAGAAGGTTATAGAACACCAAGTAGATTTAACCCAAAGAAGCCTACCTTAAGGCACTTAATAATCAAACTCCCAAAGGTCAAGGATAATGAAAGGATCCTAAAACCAGCAAGAGAAAAGAAACAAATAATGTACAATGGAGCTCCAATATGTCTGGTAGCAGACCCACATTGTTACTGGGCTTGGGATGTCCCCCAAGTGGAAATCTTACAGGCCAGGAGATTTAATATGCATGGCATATTTAAGTTGCTGAAGGAAAAAACCCTTTACCCTAGAATAGCATATCTGATGAAAATATCCTTCAAACATGAAGGAGAAATAAAGACTTTCCCAGACAAATAAAAGCTGAGGGATTTAATTAACTGCACACCAGTCCCATAAGAAATGCTAAAAATAGCTCTTCAATCTGAAAGTAAAGGACATTAATGAGCAATAAGAAATCATCTGAATATATGAAATTCACTGATTATAGTAGGTACATGGAAAAACACAATAATCATAACAGTGTAACTGTGGTATGTAAAGTACTCTTAAGTAGAAAGACTAAAAGATGAACCAATAAAAATGATAACTGCAACAACTTTTCAAGACATAGACAGTAAAAACAAAGTTATAAATGGAAACAACAAAAAGTTAAAAAGTCAGAGACAAAGTTAAAATGTAGAGTATTAGTTTTCTTTTTTTGCTTACTTGTTTGTTTATGCAGAGTTAAGTTGTTATCAGCTTACAATAATGGGTTATAAGATAGTATTTGCAAGCCTCATAGTAACCTTGAATAAAAAAAATACAGTAGATATATGAAAAACAAAAAGCAGGAAATTAAATCATATCACCAGAGAAAATCACCTTCACTAAAAGGAAGACAGGAAGGAAAGAAAGAAGGAGAAGAAGACCAAAAAACAACCAGAAAACAAATAACAAAATGGCAGAAGTAAGTGCTTACTTATTAATAATAATATTGAATGTAAATGGATTAAACTTTCCAATCAAAGTATGTAGAGTGGCTGAATGGATGAAAAAACAAGACCTAATGATCTGTTTTCCACAAGAAACACACTCCACTCCACCTATAAAGATACATACAGACTGAAAATGAAGGGATAAAAAGAGACATTTCATCCCAATGGAAACCAAAAAGGAGCAACAGTAGCTATACTTATATCAGACAAAATAGATCTTGAGACAAAAACTGTAAGAAGAGACAAAGAAGGTCACTATATAATGAAAAAGGGGTCAATTCAGCAAGAGGATATAACAATTGCAGGATATAAATACATATGCACCCAATACTGGCACACCCAGACATGTAAGGCAAATATTATTAGAGCTAAAGAAATAGATAGCCTCCAATACAATAACAGCTGGAGAGTTTAACACTCTGCGTTCAGCATTGGACTGATCTTTCAGATGGAAAATCAATAAAGTAACATTGGACTTAATCTATACTGTAGACCAAATGAACATAATAGATATTTATAGAACATTCTATTCATCAGCTACAGAATACACATTCTTTTCTTCAGCCCATGGATCATTCTCAAGGATAGACCATATGTTAGGTAACAAAACAAGCCTTAAAACATTCAAAAAATTGAAATGATATTAAGCGTCTTCTCTGACCACAATGGAATTAAATAGAAGTCAATAACAAGAGGAAGTTTGGAAACTGTACAAATACATGGAAATTAAACAATATGCTCCTGAATGACCAATAAGTCAATAAAGAAATTAAGAAGGGAATTGAAAAATTTCTTGAAACAAATGATAATGAAAACACAGCATATGGAAACCTATAGGATATTAAGATGGAAATTTATACCTATAAGTGCCTACATCAAAAAAAAAAAAAAAAAAAGAAAGAAAAAGAGAGAAAAAGAAAAAAGAAAAACTTCAAACAAAACATCTGATGACAAATCTTAAAGAACTAAAAAAGCAAGCACAAATTAAACCCAAAATTGGTAGAACAAAAAAAATAAAGATCATAGCAGAAATGCAATGAAGAAAACAATACAAAACATCAATGCAAAGAAATTTGGCTTTTTGAAAAGATAAATAAAATCAATAATCCTTTAGCCAGACCAAAAAAAAAAAAATAAAGAGAGATGACCCAAATTAATAAAATCAGAGATGAAAAAGGAGACATTAGAGACATTACAATGGACGGCACAGAAACTCAAAGGCTCATTAGTGACTACTGTGAGCAACTATATGCCAATAAATTGTAAAGTCTAGAAGAAATGGGCAAATTCCTAGACACGTACAACCTATCAAGATTAAACCACAAAGAAATCCAAAACCTGAACAGATCAATAACAAGTGATGAGATGAAAGCCATGATAAAAACTCTCCCAGTAAAGAAAAGCCCAGGATCCAATGGCTTCACTGCTGAATTATGCCAAGTATTTAAAGAAGAGATAATACCAATCCTACTCAAACTGTTCTGAAAAATAGAGAAAGAGGGAATACTTCCAAATTTATTCTATGAAGCCTACATTACCCTGATACCAAAAACAGACTAAGACACATCAAAAAATGAAACTACAGGCAAATATACCAATCAATATTGATGCAAAACACCTCAACAAAATACTAGCAAGCTGAATTCAACAACATATTAAAAAGATCATTCATCATGACCAAGTGAGATTTATCCCAGGAATGCAAGGATGGTTCAAGATATGCAAATTAATCAGTGTAATACATTATACCAACAGAATGAAGGACAAAAACCATACGACCATTTCAATTGATGCTGAGAAATTATTTGATAAAAGTCAACATCCCTTCATGAGAAAAACTCTCAAAAAGCAGGGTATTGAAGGAACATCCCTCAACAAAATAAAAGCCATATATGACAGACCTACAGCCAGCATATATTGAATGGGGAAAAAATGAAAGCCTTTCCTGTAAGATCTGGAACATGGCAAGGCTGCACACCCTTTCATCATTCTTTTTCTACATAGTGCTAAAGCAGTCAGACAAGAGAAAGAGATAAAGGACATCCAAATTGGAAAGGATGAAGACAAATTATCCTTGTTTGCAGATGATATGACCTTATATTTGTAAAAACCTAAAGATTCCACAAAAAAACTATTAGAACTGATAAACAAATTCAGTAAATCTCCAGGATACAAAATCAACAGACAAAAATTAGTAGCATTTCTACATGCCAACAGTGAACACTCTGAAAATAAATTAAGAGACTAACCCCATTTATAATAGCTACAAATAAAATAAAATACCTATTAATTTAACCAAAGAAGTGAAAGTTCT